CTGATGACCCCTGATGGACGCGGCCAGCTCGAGCAATTTTGGGACCAGTGTTCTGACGCGCCTGAGTTGCAAGAGCACCCGGTGCTTCAGCGAATTGACTACAGGTCAAAGTGTATCCCAATAGGAATTCACGGGGACGAGGTCCCTGTAGTAGGGAGAGGAAAAGTGTGGTGTAAGGCGGCAGTTGTATGGACATGGTTTAGTTTGCTGGCGCACGCAATTCCAACGCTAAGTTCCTTATTCTGGATCTGGGCATGCGTGCCGCTGCACTTCAAGGATGATGCTGGCGGAACAATGGATGTGTTCTGGGAAATCCTAGCATGGTCATTAGCCGCGCTTTTTGCTGGGCAGTGGCCAGCGCGCGACCACAGAGGAGTTAGATATGCGCCCGGCAGCTCTGAGGCAATGAAAGCTGGCACACCTCTTGCAAATGGCTTCTACTGCTGTCTTCTGGTGTTAGCAGGCGACCAAGACTACATGAGTAAATTCCTTGGCCAGCCCCATGGTCGTCCTCATCTCGCCCATGCGGCCTTTGTCGAACAAGCGCAAAGGGGCCCAACACGTATGTAGACTTTCGGCCAGCAGCGCCGTGGCGAGCAACTATTCTCAACACCAGCACTTGGCAGGAAGACCCTTCCCGCTCTCGCAGTCCTATTTATCAAGTGCCCGGACTGACTGGCTTGTGCGTGATTCCTGATTATATGCGCTTGAAATTCTTGGGCTACGTGCAATATCTATTTGGATCAGTGCTATTTTTTTGCTCACGCATCGAATATTGCCAAACTCACCAATTGTCAAACTTCGAACCATTGCGTTGTTCATTTGCAGGCACCAGCTCAGGAACAATGTGGCTAACAGGTTTCCAGTATCTGCATTTCGCAAATTATCGATATTTCTTCGGAAATCTGGCTTTCCGAAATTGCGTGGGAAAGCAGGCTACCTACGAGCTCTGTGCCCAACCATGCTGGCTCCATGGAAGAAACACATGAACACCAAAATCAAAACGCATCGACAAATCGAAATATTGCTTGACTTGAATGTGAGACTGGACAATATTTTTGATGAGTTCAGTCCTTCGAACGGCTATTACGCTCTGCCGCAGGAACAAGCTGAGCAAGTCATCTCCATTCAGCAATCATTTGGGCAAGTGTATGTGATGTTGAAGGACCATCTTGATGAGGAAGGTGTCAAGCTGTTCAACATCGTATCCAAGTTGCACCTGTCCATGCATTTGTGTCTGGCTTCAGGCGGCCTTCACCCATACATGGCATGGTGTTGGAAGGGCGAGGGTTTCATGCTGGCTGCCAGCCGGCTGATTGGCTCTTGCGTTCGCGGCCGTGGCGACGTGGCTGCATCGACTGCGGCCACTGACAAGTATCGCCTGGCCATGCATATGACCTGGACCTCTGTTGCGCAGTCTTTGTCAAAGAGCACTCTGACTGTTCTTTTCTGAATGGTTTCACTCTTTGGCCAACTGCGCCGCTGCGCCGACACAGCGGCAAGCTCCGTCTTGCATGCCATAAAGCTTGCTAGTGTTTGTTGCCGGTGATGTGCTTGAGTAATTTGTCTTTGTTCTTGAGAGTTGTTCGTGAGAGTTGTTCTTGAGAGCTGCTTGAGACCTGAACGCGCTTCGATCATGCTTTCAGTTTTGCCTAAGAGACTTAAAAGAAGAGCCTGCGCGAGTATAGACGGTAGTTGTTGAATAACAAAGCGCTCTGAACGCAAGCTGAGCTTGCGCCACCATCGCAGTCAACTCTTCATGTTCCTTGAAAAAAAGCTCGCCAAGCAATCTGACACACGTATTCACCGTCGCGGGAGACAATTGATCAATGCACAAACTTCATATAAAACAATGCAAAACAAATACGGTTTTCACTTCAACGAAAAACAACACCGCGACTAAAATGCGATTTAGTCTCGCGACTAAATTTAATTAGTCTCGAGACTAATTTAGTCTCGCAACCAAATTTAGTCTCGAAATGGTCTACAATTAGTCTCGGAGATTTAGACTCGGCCGAGTCTAAATTCTTGTTTTGGACTAATTTAGTCTCGAGACTATTTTTAGACTCGATGGATCTATAGGGCAAGAGACGTGACGAGGATCATGACGCGAGAGGTTGCCAGAAACGGGACGGCAAATCTAACAAGAGACGTTTGAGAAGAGACGTGGCGAGGGTCATGACAAGAGACGTGACCAGAGACATGACGCGAGGGGTGACGACGCGCGCGACAGGATCTCCAAGAGTGACGGGAGATGCTAGGTAGTCGTGACAAGAGGCGTGTTGAGACACATGATGAAAGATCAGATGAAAGTCATGACAAGAGGCGTGGCCAGAGTTGCTACGACAGACGTGACAAAGGACGTGACCAAAGACGTGACCAGAGGCGTGACGATGGGTGTGATGGATGTGACAAGAGACGTGCGAGGAGACTCGCGACGAGACGCAAGATATGGTGTGACCAGAGACGTGACGAGAGATGCGACAAGAGACGTGATGTGACGCGAGAGGTTGCCAGAGGCGGGACGGCAAATATGACAAGAGACGTGTGAGAAGAGACGTGGCGAGGGTCGTGACCAGAGACGTGACCAGAGACGTGACGCGAGGGGTGACGACGCGCGCGACAGGAGATGTCTCCAAGAAAGACGCGATGGGAGACGCTACGTAGTCGCGACGAGAGGCGCCTTGAGACACGTGATGAAAGATAAGATGAAAGTCATGACAAGAGACGTGGCCAGAGTTGTTACGACAGACATGACAAAGGACGTGACCAAAGACGTGACCAGAGGCATGACGATGGATGTGATGGATGTGACAAGAGACGTGCGAGGAGAGTCGCGACGAGACGCGAGATATGGCGTGACCAGAGACGTGACGACAGATGCGACAAGAGACGTGACGAGGATCGTGACGCCAGAGGTTGCCAGAGATGGGACGTAGTTGTGACGAGCGGCGCCTCGTGACACGTGATGAAAGATGCGATGACGAAAGATGTGACGAAGTGTGGCCAGAGTTGTTATTAAGAGACCTGCCAAGGGACGTCTAGCTACGTGGCGATAGATGTGACAAGAAACGTTGTTACGTGAGACGCGACAAGGACAAGGAAAAAAGAGAGACGTGACAAGAGACGGTGTTACGAGAATCCTGACAAGGGGTATGACCAGAGACGTGACGCGCTAGAGACGTGACTATACACAAAAAAGAGGAATAGCCAGATACTCCACCGGCGAGGAGAGACGTGACGAGATTGGACCAGAGACGCGACGAGAGATGTGACAAGAGACGTGGCGCGAGCGCGGCGAGACAAGTGATAAAAGACGAGGAACGCGACTTGTGTGACGACTCACATGACAAGAGACATGACGGGAGTCGCCAAGAAGGACGTGATGGGAGACGTGACAGTCCTGACGAGAGGCGCAGCGAGACACATGATGAAAGGTTTGACGAAAGTCATGACGAGAGACGTGGCCAGAGTTGCTACGAGAGACGCGACAATGACGTGACCCGAAGTGACCAGAGACGTGACTATAGAAACCTGACTAGAGACGCAACGCGAGATGTGACAAGAGTCCGCTTTCGTGTCCGCATTCGGGTTCGTGGCTTCTATCAGGTTTGTTTGATTTTTGTTTGTTTGATTGTTTGCTGTGGTTTGTTGTTGTTTGTTGTTGCTGTTGTTGTTGCTGCTGCTGTTGTTTGTTGTCGTTGTTTGTTGTTTGTTGTTTGTGATTGTCGTTGGTGGTCGGTGGTCGGCGGTCGTTGGTCGTTGGTTGTTGGTTGTTGCTCGTTGGTCGCTGGTCGCTGGTCGTTGGTTGTTGGTCGTTGAACGTTGTCGTTGTTTTTGTTGTTTCTTTGGTTTTTTGTTTGGTTGTTTGTTTGTTTGGTTGTTTGGTGGGTTGCTTACTTGCTTTGTTGTTTGGTTGTTTGCTGTTTGTCGGGTGTTGTTTGTCGTTTGTTGTGCGTTGTTTGTTCTTTGTGGTTTGTTGTGGGTTGGCGTGGGTGTTTGTGGGTTGGCGTGGCTTGTGGTTTGTTGTGGTTTGTTGTGGTTTGTTGTGGTTTGTTGTGGTTTGTTGTGGTTTGTTGTGGTTTGTTGTTGTTGTTGTTGTCGCTGTTGCTGTTGCTGTTGCTGTTGCTGTTGCTGTTGCTGTTGTTGTTGTTGTTGTTGCTGCTGCTGCTGTTGTTGTTGTTGTTGTTGTTGTTGTTGTTGTTGTTGTTGTTGTTGTTGTTGTTGTTCTTGTTGTTGTTGTTGATGCGGTTGTGGTTGTTGGTTGTTGGTTGTTGGTTGTTGGCAGTTGCTTGTTGATTGTTGGTTGATGGTGTTAGTTGTGGGTTGTGGTTGTGGTTGTGGTTGTTGTTGCTGTTGCTGTTGCTGTTGCTGTTGTTGTTGTGGTTGTGGTTGTGGTTGTGGTTGTGGTTGTGGTTGGTGTTGCTGTTGCTGTTGCTGTTGTTGTTGCTGTTGCTGTTGCTGTTGCTGTTGCTGTTGCTGTTGTTGTTGTTGTTGTTGTTGCTGTTGTGGTTGTGGTTGTTGTTGGTGTTGGTGTTGGTGTTGGTGTTGGTGTTGGTGTTGGTGTTGGTGTTGTTGTTGTTGTTGTTGTTGTTGTTGTTGTTGTTGTTGTTGTTGTTGTTGTTGTTGTTGTTGTTGTTGTTGTTGTTGTTGTTGTTGTTGTTGCTTGTCGCTTGTCGTTTGTCGTTTGTCGTTTGTCGCTTGTCGCTTGTTGCTTGTTGCTTGTTGCTTGTTGCTTGTTTTTTTTTTGCTTGTTGCTTGTTGCTTGTTGCTTGTTGCTTGTTGCTTGTTGCTTGTTGCTTGTTGTTTGTTCTGTCGCTGGTTCTGCGGCTGTTGCTCCTCGTCGCGTTTGCAGTTGCTGATGTGGGATGTTTTTGATAGTCCTGATGGGGTTGTATCTTTTTGTTTCCAGCCTCAACCTTCTCTATGTCAGGGTTGTGGAGCTTCATTTACATGTCAGATGCTCTCGAGAAATCCGGAAGCCGCTTGCCGCTTGGTAGGCCATGGCACTTTTGCAGCAACTTCTTCAGCTGGGCATTCAAGGCAATGCTCCTCGGCAAGGCATACCCCTCTTCAAGCGGAAGTGGCGTGGAGAATCGCCAAACGCACGCCCTGTAGTTAAATGCCTTCATTTGGGGCGGGCGCCTGTGTAGGAGTGGGGTGCGCGTCAAATGTGCGGAACACACCTTTGCCTACCGGATGCTCAACCTGAAGGATCGCAGAGGGATCGCACGGATTGTCAAGTGCTAAGTTTGTGGTGACAACCCACGGCAGAAAATGGTTTTTAGAAAAAACACTTTCTGTGAACAACCCTAGGGGAATACCCTTTTGATAAAGTCATCAGAGGGTGGGATGCCGTATCGCAGAAGGGGGCAATCATGGCCGTGAACGCGTCGTGGGGCTGAGGCTTCATCAGAATCATCCCACTGCTCAGCAGACGGCAGTGCAATGTGTTGATCAGTCCGACTTCTACTCCAAAGATTCGCCAAACGATTCCACAACGCGCATTTTTACAGGGCAGCGCCATTGTTTGCGCTCTGATGTTTTCTGGGATACGGCCTGACCGCAATCACAGAATGCCACCAGACTGTGTGTCACACGTTCACAAAAAGGCACAGATTACAGTTGCAACTCGAGCTGGTGACAAGCGGGTCGCGTCCAAATGCCCTCCAAGAATGCGGGCGTCACAGCTTGACGGATGGGCATCCCGAACACGGTGCAAAAACAATCGCCTCGGCCGTTTGGACCGAGCCGAGGTTGTGCCATACAATGCGGCTATTAGCGCGTGTGAAAAGTGCAGCGAATGGCAGGATGCCCTAGCGCCGCTCGGTTAAATTCGACAATCACCTGACGCTTTGTGAATCCAATTTGCGAAGGAAAGAAAAAGACAATTCGCTATGTCTCAGAGGCTTTCAACTTGTCAGGCAAAACTGGGTGAAGCAACTGAGGTTGTTGCTTCAGCTGGGAGCTGCCAGCCATGAGCCTGACGTGGTGTCGTGTTCCTCCACAATCAGCGCATGTGCGCGCGCCGGGCGTTGGCGGAACGCCATCCACATCTTTGAACAGTTCCAGGTTGGGCTGGACTGAACAATTTATATGTTCGAACCAGCAGCCAGCTGATTGCAGCATGAGTTGGCCAGTGAGTATTGAAACCCAGGAGAGGCAAGATCCCATCATCTCAGAACACGATTCGCAGGAACAGGAAGTGCGTGCCAACACCATCGCCTTCAACTCGAGTATCACATCTGTGGAGAAGGGCGCCCAATGGCAGAGCGGGCTCTTCTGGCTGATGAAAGCTCGACGCTGCGCAAAGACATGTACAGTGACCGAGCTGCAGGCGTCCAGTATTGTTTTTTTCGGGAAAATGACACGGGCGTTCTAAAAGGGGCTTTGCTCCCGTTCTCTCCAAGACAGCGGCTAAAATATAAGTCTTAGAGAGCATTTTAGAATCTTGCAGGGGTCTTGTAAGCCAATCATTGCGGCGGACGTGGTCAATCAGGGCCTTGCCTGAGCGCGAGAGTCCTCGTGGCAACTGCCACTGCCCGAAGAACCCGATCCCTGCTCCCAGCTGCCATTGTGGTGGGTTACATGCACTCTGCTCTCGGCGCGTCGTCCAGTAGAAAGTCGCCGACAAAGGTGGCTGACGCGCGCAACTCCTGTACACACTGTATACACTTGAGGTTATTTGCAGTAGCGTCACTTCAGCCTCCCGCATGGTGAAAGGATCAATCGAAGCCCGAAGAAGTGAAGTGGTGGCAACTGTCAAGATGACCACAGAGTCTATAGAGCAACTGAAGCAACAGCCAGCGCGGCACAAACAGACTAGCGGCAGCTTTTACTTTTTAGGGAAAGAAGTTCAGAAGTGCCTGAGACGGGCCTTTGAACACTCGACCCGGTCAAACACCGTGCAATGCATCTCGTATGAGGTAGCCAATCCTGGGTCTGGGCTAGCTTCCAGGGTCCGGAGAATCGAAAAACAAAGCTTCGTATGCTGTTGCTCGAAAAAATGCTTCGCAGCTGTTTGCAGTATTGTTCATACTCTGCAAACATTGGCATAGCTCCAAGCTCCAAGCCTGACGAATTCTTGCAGCCCATGCTCATGCGACTCATGCTGGGCGAGGGTTGCCCGTGGACGGCAAACCTAATCCTTCTTCTCAGTGCTTTGGTGTGCAGTCGGATTTGTGAGTGACTTTGTGAATTTGTTTTGGGACGAAACATGACCTAACATGAACCGTGTGATGTGCAGGGATCCAGGCTGACTTGAGGCGCCCGCCCCAGCCACAAAAGTCTCGCAGTCCTGTTTTAAAAAAGGCACATTGGTTCTTAGAGAAATCCCTAAAGCGTTCGGATTGGGACATTCCTTGTTTGAAGGCTGGCGAATTCGGAATCTCAGAGTTAGGGACCTGGAGGGAATTCCAGTCGCCAGTTGGGCGGATTGATTTAGCAGCTGGCCAAACTCTTTGGGTTCAGCGCTGGGCTATTGCTAGAGGCCGTGCGCTTGAGGCAAGACCTTCACTCGGGGGGGGTCCCTCGGAAAGGAGTTCAACCAAGCTGGTTCAGCTCAATTCGTGAGCTGAAGAACTTAAACCCGGTTCATTCTACCCTTGGGTTTCCTTGAACGGTGGTTGATCTCTATGATCCCGGGCTGTCTTTTGGGTCATACTCAGGTTGTAACCTGCAGCGCTGTAGTCAGTGCCTGTGAGAAGGGCGCAGTGTGGCAGCGCGCCGGGCGCTTCTTGCTGCAGATGAAAGCCTTTCAGGTGGCACCTGCGATGCAAGCCTGGTGTCGCTCATTTGTTTCGAGGCAGCCCGTTTAGTATTGGCGTAAAGAGCAACCTAAGGGAAAAAAAAAACTGTAGGCCTTTGGAAAGTTCTGTGACAACCAGTTGCCTCAGTTGTTGTTTTGTTTTTTAATTAGGGGGGGAGACCTAAAGGGGGACATGTAAACAGCAGTCGGGTTGAACGCATACGTGACCTTTGCATCCCTTTCAGCATAATTAAGCACAACATGCTCGGGAAACCCAGAAGGATTATTATTCTTTTGCTTCCCTTCAAAAAACCAACCGTGTACCTTCAACACGCGGCCATGTTCTTAGACTTCTCTTGACATTATTTCACACATTTGGTGCTTCCGGTCACAATGTTCACTTTTTGCTGCGTGCAAATGCTGAAGTAGGTTGGGGTGTCCAAATATCAAGGAACCCTTTGTGGATAAGCAAAAGGAATCCGCTTTAGAAGGGGCGCCCTACTTCGGGAGACACACCTCTGGTCGACTTGAACTTTGAAGGGACAGAAGCAACCCCTCTGTTCGACTTCAGATCGGTTGGGCGGAAAATATGGAAAAGGGAGCACAGGGAACGGGGTCGGTTGAGGGTTTATTTGTTGTCCCTCATTTGCAAGAAGCAAGGGGACGCACGCGCACACGCGCACACACGCACACACGCACACACGCACACATGCACACACGCACACACGCACACACGCACAGACGCACACACGCACACACGCACACACGCACACACGCACACACGCGCACACGCGCACACGCGCACACGCGCACACGCGCACACGCGCACGCGCACACACACGCACACACACGCACACACACGCACACACACGCACACACACGCACACACGCACACACGCACACGCACACGCACACGCGCACGCACACGCACACGCGCACCCACACGCACACGCACACGCACACACATAGACACAGACACAGACACACACACACACAGACAGACACACACACACACACACACACCACACACACACACACACCCACGCACGCACGCACGCACGCACGACCGCACACACGCACGCACCCATACACACACAGACACACACACGCATACACACACACACACACAAATGCACACACAAAAGCACAGAAACACAAACACAAACCCAGCCACACAAGCACACACAATCCGCAAACCCAGAAACTCACAAACACCACCACACACACACGTACACATACAGAGACACGCACACAGACAATACGCACACACACACAGGCGCACACTCACAGAGACGCAGACACACAGACACACTCAGACAGATAGGCGAGGACATACAGAGACACAGAGACGCGCAGAGACGCACAGAAACGCGCGAAGACACAGACACAAACACTCTCACAGACACACGCAGACACACATACAGAGACACACACACACATCACACACACACATCGCACACACACACACACCCAGACACCCACACACACACACGCAAACACGAATACACACGCAGACACACACACACACAGACAATACACGCACACACACACACAGACACCCAGACAGGCATACACACACAGACGCACACAGACACACACACACACATCCAGACAAACAGAAACACACAGAGACACACACACATACACGCAGACACACAGACACACAGACACACAGACACCCAGACACACACACTCACAGACTCACAGAAACGCACAGAGACTGACAGAAACACACAGAGACACACGGACACACACGCAGGCGCACACTCACAGACACACAGACACACACAGACACACTCAGACAGGCAGACAAAGACACACAGACACACACGCACACACACACACACACACACACACGCACACTCACAGACACGCGTGGGGCGGCTTCGGGGCTTGCGGGGTGGACGCTGCTGCCTTACGCCCACCCCACGGGTTAGAGTGCGTAGGCCCTCGAAGCAAGTTGGCGCCGCGGGCGTGGCTGACGTGACTTGTAGCTCACGGGGCGACTCGTGGGTCGCAGTGCGCTCACTAGCGCGGTCGGCGGGCCTGGCAAGCGTGTCTTGCGAAGGCTGCGCGCCTGTTAGCGCAACTTGCAAGGTTGCCGCAAATTTGCCTCAGACTTAGGCTGTCAGCTCGGCTCGTGACTGACTGAGCAGTGGCCGGTTTTCTGTTGCGTTTTGTCTCCCTTGTTTGCAGCCTGGGCTGCGTGGACCATCATGAACTCCAAGCAGGCATTCGGCGAGGTGCTGAGCAAATTCAAGATTTCAAAAAGGTGGAGGAGGTGTTGTCGAGTCGGCAATTCCAAGTTGCAAATTCGATGGCTTCCTTCTAGAATTAAGAGTTTTCATCCAGCCAACCGTTGAGGGAGGTTAAAATAATTTATTTTGTGATTTCGGAGTGAGGGTTGGAGCAAGAAAATAGCAATCTGAAAATTAAGAGCAAACTGAAAAGCAAGAAAAAAGTGATTCACTTGCAACAGTTGACACAAAAAAGCAAGAAAATAGTGATCAGATGGTCATCAAATAGTGATTTGGGCACCTCAAAATAGCAAGGATCCAAATCGGGATTATATGGGAGATCACTATTTTCTTGTTTTTTTTGGCAGGCGACGACCCTCGAAACCCAAAAATCTGCAAATCACAACGGGAGATCGCTATTTTCTTGCTTTTTTGGAGCGGGAAATCACTATTTTCTTGTTTTTTTTTGGAGGCGACGACCCTCGAAACCCGAAAATCTGCAAATCACAACGGGAGATCACTATTTTCTTGCTTTTTTGGAGTGGGAAATCCACATTTTCTTGTTTTTTGGAGGCGACGACCCTCGAAACCGAAAATCTGCAAATATCACTATTTTCTTGCTTTTTTGGAGTGGGAAATCACTATTTTCTTGTCTTTTTTTGGAGGCGACGACCCTCGAAACCCGAAAATCTGCAAATCACAACGGGAGATCACTATTTTCTTGCTTTTTTGGAGTGGGAAATCCATATTTTCTTGTTTTTTTGGGAGGCGACGACCCTCGAAACCGGAAATCTGCAAATCACAACGGGAGATCACTATTTTCTTGCTTTTTTGGAGTGGGAAATCACTTGTTCCTTGCTTTTTGGGCAGGCGATGACCCTCGAAACCCGGAAATCTGCAAATCACAACGGGAGATCACTATTTTCTTGCTTTTTTGGAGTGGGAAATCCCTATTTTCTTCTGATTTTTTTGGAGGCGACAACATCCAAAAAAGCAAGAAAATAGTGATCTCCCGCTGTGAGAGATTCGGGTTTCGAGGGTCAAATCACAACGGGAGATCACTATTTTCTTGCTTTTTTGGAGTGGGAAATCACTTGTTCCTTGCTTTTTAGGATGACCCTCGAAACCCGGAAATCTGCAAATCACAACGGGAGATCACTATTTTCTTGCTTTTTTGGAGTGGGAAATCCCTATTTTCTTCTGAAGGCGACAACATCCAAAAAAGCAAGAAAATAGTGATCTCCCGCTGTGATTTGCAGATTTTCGGGTTTCGAGGGTCATCGCCTGCCCAAAAAGCAAGGAAAAAGTGATTTCCCACTCCAAAAAAGCAAGAAAATAGTGATCTCCTGCAGATTTCCGGTTTCGAGGGTCGTCGCCTGCAAAAAAAAAAGAAAATATGGATTTCCCATTCCAAAAAAGCAAGAAAATAGTGATCTCCCGTTGTGATTTGCAGATTTTCGGGTTTCGAGGGTCGTCGCCTCCAAAAAAAAACAAGAAAATAGTGATTTCCCACTCCAAAAAAGCAAGAAAATAGTGATCTCCCGTTGTGTTTTGAGGGTCGTCGCCTCCAAAAAAAACAAGAAAATAGGGATTTCCCACTCCAAAAGCAAGAAAATAGTGATCTCCCGCTGTGATTTGCAGATTTGCTGGTTTCGAGGGTTGATCACAATTTTCTTGCTTTTTGTTTCACAATTGTCTTGCTATTTTCTTGCTATTTCTGGTCTCTTGTTTGCTGCATTCTTGCTTTTTTAGTGCCCACTGTTTGCTCTAAAATCACTTTTTCCTTGCTTTTTTTTCCCACCCGAAACTTGGGATCACTATTTTCTTGCTCTGTTGCTTGCTCTACATCTCACAAAAAAATTAAAACAGCATTTTCCAATGGTTGGCTGGTTTCGCAAGTCTTAATTCTAGAATCGACAACGTTACGAGGCAACGCGAAGCACGCACACAGCAGCCAAAGAAAGGGACTAACTGGCCTCACATGCACGCAGGTACACAAGGCTGATCACGCCTTGCTTCCCACTCTCGCCCACAGCTAAATTGCGTGTGGTAGGACAAGAGTGCCACACGCCTCCGCAAAAAAAAGCGATTCCTGGGTAGATCAGGAACTCCGCACACACACACACATCACGCAGACGCAGACGCACAGACTCACACATACACACCCACACCCACACACACGCAGACACACACACACACACACATGCGCACGTGCGCGCGGCCACGCGCCATCCACACACCAACACACACACACACACACACAGCCACGCACCCACACACACACGCGCGCGCCAAGCTACTCACCGCACCACACACACACGCACGCACGCACACGCGCACTGCACCACACCGCACCACACCACACCACACCAGCGCGCACACACACGCGCACACGCATGCCCGCACAACCACGCATCCACACACCCACACCAACACCACACCAGCGCGCACACACACACACACACACCCGCACAGCCACGCATCCACAAACCCATACCAACACCTACGCCGGCGCACTCATGCGCGCACAAACGCGCAAGCCGGCCACACAAACCCACCCACCCACCCACCCACACAGACAGACGGACGGACGGACGGACGGACGGACGGACGGACAGACAGACGCACGCCGACACAAACTCGCGCGCTCGAGCACGCGCACGCGCACGCGCACGGCCACGCACACGCACGCACGCGCACTCCTACTTAGTCACCACTGTTCGGGCAGCCTGTTGGGACGGACTGCAAGGCTGCGCAAAGCAGGTTTCCGAGACCATGT